CTTTCATGCAATCTCAAGCATAGTGTCTGTCACCAAGGCCACATTTTCCAACAATGAATCCTTCCTGTTTTTTCCCAACTTTTACATTCCAGTCTTCAATAATTACTGCTGCATCTTTATTGCATGTGTGATCAATTTCAGACTAAAGAAGTTAGTAGAATTCTTCAATCTCTTCATCACTGGCATTAGTGGTTGGTGCATAAATTTGAGTAATATTCATATTTACTGGTCTTCCTTGTAGGAGATATTATCCTATCACAGAACAGCATTGTACTTCAAGATCTTTTCATGTGGCTAAATGCTACACCATTCCTCTTCAGTTTGTCATTCCCAACATAGTAATCCATATGTCTGTCTGATTCAAAATGGCCAAAATCAGTCCATTTCAGACTACCAATGTCTAGGATATCCATCTTTATGCATTCTATTTATTTTTGACAATTTTTAATTTTCTCAGAGTTATACTTTGTCTATTTCACGTTCCAATCATTAATGGATAATTACAGCTGTTTCTTCTCATTTTGAGTTGTGATTCATAAGCAAATGAAGGTCCCGAAAGCTGTGCTCCATCCATGTCATTAAGGTCACTCTACTTTGAGCTCTTCCCCAGTCTTGTTTTCAGTACCTCCCAAACTGACAGTGTTCTGCTGAAGGTTTTTAGTGGCTAACCTTTCAGAAGTGTTCAGCATCTCCTTCTTCCTATTCCATCTCAGTCTGGAAGTTCCACTGAAATCTGTCTGCCGTAAGTAACCCTGCTAGTATTTAAAATCCAGGTGGCAAAGCTTCCAGAACACACACAAGCCACCACAGGACCACAGATTCAGTTGTTGTTAAGTGCAGTTTAGTTGATTCCGATTCACAGCAACCCTGAGTAGAAGCTGATGAGTTTGAACCGCCAACATTGATTTACAGGTTACTAAATATAAGGATCCACCACTCATCTGTCAGTTTGTCGTACTGTGGTGGCTTGTGAGTTCCAGTGATTCTGGAAGCTATGTCACTGGTATTTTAAGTACCAGCAGAGTCACCCATGGTAGTTGGTTTCAGATGAGCTTCCAGATGAAGACAGAGTAGGAAGAAGGAGTGACGAACTATTTCCGAATATTTTAGTCACTGAAAACCTTATGAATAACAGAGAAACACTGTCAGATATAGTGCCAGAAAATGAGCCTCTCAGGTTGGAAGGCACTCAAAATACGACTGGGGAAGAGCTGCTTCCTCAAAGTAGAGTTGACTGTGATGATACAAATGCAGTAAAGCCTGCAGGACCTTCTTTTGCTGATGGGGCACAACTCAAAATGAAGAGAAACAGCTGTAAACATCCATTGAAAATTGGAACATGGAATGTATGAAGTATGAATCTGGGAAAATTGGAAGTTGTCAAAAATGAAGTGGAATGCATAAACATTGATATCTTAGGCATTACTGAGCTGAAATGGACTGGTATTGGCCATTTTTAATCTGATGACCACATGGTTTACTATGCTAGAAATGACAAATTGAAGAGGAATGGTTTTGCATTCATTGTCAAAAAGAACATATCCAGATCAGTCATGAGATACAACGCTGTCTGTGATAGGATAATATCCAAGCGCCTACAGGGAAGCCCAGTTAATACCACTATTATTCAAATTTACACACCAACCAGTAAAGCCAGTGAGGATGAAATAGAAGAATTCTACCAACTTCTTCAATCTGAAATCGATCAAACATACAATCAAGATGTATTGATAATTACTGGTGATTGGACTGCAAAGGTTGAGAGCAAAGAGGAAGGATCAGTAGTTGGAAAATATGGTCTTGGTGATAGAAATGATGCTGGTGATCAACCGCATGATAGAATTCTGAAAAATCAATGATTTGCTCATTCCAAATACCTTCTTTAGACACCATAAGAGAAGACTCTACACATGGACCTCACCAGATGGAAAACATAGAAATTGAATTGACTACATCTGTGGAAAGAGACGATGGATAAGCTCCATATCATCAGTCAAAACAAGACCAGGGGCAGACTGTGGAACAGAGCATCAATTACTCATATGCAAATTCAAACTGAAATTGCATATGACGCTGAAGAAAAAGAAAACAAGGTCCACGAGAGCCAAAATATGACCTTGAATATATCCCACCTGAATTTATAAATCATCTGAAGAACAGATTTGATATACACTAAAGACCAAAGATCAGAAGAGTTGTGGGATGACATCAAGAACATCATATGTGAAGA